ACCATTTATGTGGTAATTTTAATCTTTTGATGTCTTTGTCTCTTTCCAAATAGAAGGGTAATAATCTGTTTACACTTCTACTTTTTACTTAAAATTGCACTTATTTAAATTGTTGATAGGAGTTATATGACTGTATACTATTTCTATTTCTAATATAATTTCTCAATAATAACAAGGATCAAAGGGACAGGAATGATAGCTTTAAATGTTCTATTAAATTGTTTCAAAGATACTAAATTCAGATTTATTATATTATGGTAATTATTTTATCCATATTTCATGAGGTAGTATGTTTTATTTATTTACGTACATATGTGAGTTTCTTTGTAATTACAAAGGATGACTTAAAGCCTCTTTTCAGTTTGAAAAAAACAAATATCAAATTTTTAGGAAAGACAGCAAGAATCTATATCGAATGCTAAAGTGGGATTCAAACCCACTATTTGAGTGGTTAGTGGAATAGCAATAATCCTCTGAGAGGTAGAAGTAAAACAACCATATATTATAGGGATCGCTATTACCACAGGGTGTTGTCTTTGCAAAAAACTCAGAATCGTAATGGTAGTGGGTTCAAAATTTTCGTTCTGTTTTTTTCTTCTCACTTTTATGCTGTTTGTTCTGCAATTTGACAAGAAGCAGACAATTTTATGCATGGTTACGCTTTGATTAGAACCCTCTACCTGCATTTAATGTAGAATTTAACGGAAAGATAAGACTAGTGTAAATATATTTTTAAAAAATGCCAAGATTTTTTTATTTATTTGTCGTTACACATATGCAGGCTTGTTTGCTCATTACAACGTTTGATTTATTATAACTCCTTGTCAATTTCTGGAACAGAGAGGACGAGTTACAGACGAACATGAAAAAGATGCACACATTTTTACCTTAAGCTTCGAATCACCTACCTCTACGTGACAAAGCGCTTGGTGGAACGGCGGGATCACTCGGTCAGAAAAGTTCCACGTAATAAAATAAAACTGCTGGGCAGATTTATTTTATTTCGTTTTAACGATATCAGTCAACGCTGACCAATGTGAAAATATCAATGACTTGTTGTTTGGGTTAAATAAAAAAACCATTATTAGACTCATAATACCTTGTTATACTCAGAAAAATGGAGCAAAACATTAAATAGGGAAATCTATTTCAAATTCGATAAATAGTCACAGAAATTAAACATATTTTCGATTAAAAGAAAACCTAGATTTTCATCCATGGTTAAAATTTAAAACTTTTTAAAATCAAAGTTAAAGGGTACCCTCTCAGTTCCAATTTATCAATATCTTCTTGATACAAAATTCTTTGGTAAAAATTACCTGGTTCCTTGGTGTTCCAGTAGAGTGAGAAGCATGGTTAATTTGACCATATTCTGGTAGTTTTGACCATACTTTTTTCTCAGTGTATATTTTATAAACTCTATTTATAAGTCACAGCCCTTTATTACGAAGATATACGATTTCCTAAAATAAATTTCTTGGAATCCACGTGCGCAGTTTTTAAATAAAATATTTAATTGAAGATATATTTAATGAAATCAAATTCTCATTTCATTAAATAGCAAAATCATTTTCATCTAATTTAATAAAAAATTAAGAACAGTTTCTCTAAAAAAGAGCAAAAATCACAAAGCTCTAAAAAATTATACCACTTCTGCTTAATAACTTTAAAAAAAAATAGAAGAATATTTTTCCATTATTCATTTTTTTACAAAAAAAAAGATTAACAACGCATTAATTATAAAAATAAACAATAGTTTTGAATGAAAATGGCTTGGAGGCATTTTTAATGCCTCTTCTGATAAGCATCTTTAGCAAATTTTTTTTATCAGGAACTCGAAAAAAAACATTTAAAATGTTTTTTTCTTAAGATGAATTCAATACTTAACATTTAATATTTTTATTTAATTTCCTAAAGCTTGCACACAAATTACTTAGTAAAAAAAAAGCATTATTTTGAACTACATCTGATATTATTATACTAGTACTTCAAGAATTACAAAATTAAACAATTCAAGATTTTATTCGAATCAAGCATGTTTTTTTATTCCAAGCATTTAAAAGCTTACAAATGATTCTACTATTACTTGACCAGTAAAATAATGAACTGACATGCAATATTATGCACTTTAAGTCACAATTGACTGTTTATTCTCCGCATATTAAGATAATATTAAAGTGAATAACCACACTTTAAATGTAGTTAAGAATTTTAAAAAAAAATCAGATACTATACATTATACAAAAAAAATTTATTGTTTTAAATTCGATAAAAGTTTCATTTTAGGTGTCAAAACAATAAATGTCAATACATAATGAAACATTACGCCATCAGCTAAACAATTTAATTTCATTTTAAATTTAAATTTAATTAAAATATATTTTAATTTTTGTCAAAATTTAAACGTTCAGAATTAAAATCACTTACTTCGAATTAAATCAGTGTAACATCGTAAGTACTAAATGCAAATTTTAAATTTTCATTTTGAAATGAGTTAGGATTGTATTTCTCCATAGATTTAATATTGCTTTCTTTTCCTTTACTTCCTTTCACTTGTCCTTTATACTTGTTTACTTTATTACAAAAAATAATTTTAAGTATTGTAGGTACATTTATAGAAAAGTAAATTTTCCTTAAAAAACACAAAAAAGCTTTTAACTTAAAATGCATTTTACAGAAACTTTTAAGATATAAAAAAGTAATTTTTTAAAAACTTGTTATTTATTTTATTCCGAGTAACTGCAAAATCAAATTATTTGCCTTGACAATCAAATTATTTGCATGTAACAATACAATTAGATGTGGCCAAAAAGGAATTATATTGAAACTAGTTAAATATATTAAAAGTAGTTAAATTTCTTGAGATTTAAAAAAAATTGCAATAGAGGTAAATATTGCATTTAGATAATTCATGTACGCTTTTTTGTATTTTTAATATTTATCATTTCAAATAGAAGCTGGTGTATGAAAATGGATTCAGGTAGAAGCTAGTTCATCTAAGTAAGTGTTGTCTTACTTATTTCTCCTTTTCTCCAGATTTCAATAAAAGTTTGTGTGCTTTTTATTAAGTTAAATAATGCTAAACTAATATTGTTAAAAAAATTCAAGAAATAAAAGCGATAGAAGAATAAATGAAACATTAAAAAGATAATTAATAAAATTAAATGAAAAAATTTAAATTAAAGTAATCTGAAATTTTCTGATTAAATACGATTTTAAGAAAAAGGTTATATTGATTTACTGAAAAACCTGAAAATATTAAGTTATTATCCTTATTTCATTAACATTACAACCAAAAAGTTTTCGTTTTTTTTTTTTTTTGGGGAACGAATCTGAAAATAATATAATTTTTTTCTCACTATATTTCTACAAGAGGTTGAATAAACTAAAAAAAGCTATTTTTTAAAAATAATTATAGACCTTCAATATCAAATGCTAAGTTTATTGTCGTAATTTAATACTTCCTTTCCCGAATAAAAATATTTGACAGTAGGCGTATTAAGATCTTCAGTTTATTCAATATCTGCGTTCTAGTATTTAACAGATTAGTTACGAAATATTTTTTAAAATAACTCTAATATTCAGATATTTACAAATGGAAAAATAGGCTTCACAGGGATGTTCATACTGTCGTTTGTTTACTCAAAATAATATTCCCAGTTTTTTATCATAACGATTGATTAGTAATTAATCATTTTGATAAAAATAGATTGACTTCTGCAGCATTAAGATGTAGCAGTTCTTTAAAGTTAAATGAATTGTTGACATGCTTGTTGACACTGTTGACATTATTGACAATGTTGATTCCTTGCTTTTTTGAGAATTTGAATATATCCTTAGAGAATTTACGAATTTTTTTATTCTATCTCTATTTTTGTGTAAAAATAAAACTGTCATATGAGTGAATCTATAAAACCTACGGTCTAATAAAATATTTGTATTATTCAGCGTAGTTGAAATTAATTCCTGTGTCTAACATAGGAAGAATAAAAATAAAATAAATAAACACTGAGTTAATAATGATTGAAACCAAGTAAATATTAGACTTCGTAGTAAGAAACTTTAGAAGCTAAAATACATACATTTGGTGTCAGAAAAGAAGAAAAAGTAAAGTAACCGGAGTCAAGCCAAAAAAGTACAGACGTATTATTCAATAAATGGAGTGAGGACTTAGAAGTTAGAAAAAAAAACGGCACCTTCCAAGAGTTGCAAATTCGAAACAACGGCAACATGTTAAAATGGCAAAAAAATGTAGGAGGTTAGCGGGAAATGAGAATATAGACTTTATTTCGGAATGTAATTTTATCAAAGAAATCGGTAGTGCATGCTAAAACACACATGTTTTGTTTAAATTAAAAATATGAAAAATTATAGGATTAGTCAAATAAATCATAGTGTTATTTATTAAATGAACTAAACATTACTCAAAACATCAGTTTTGTGAATAAAATTTATGGGGACACAGCTTTTCATTCATGCAATTTAGCATGAATAGCATAGTTTTTTTTGACATACGCGTCTTCACTGGCTCAATATAAAGTCCTCTTACATCCTTGACTAAACACGTAAATATTGGTATTTATCTGAAACATCTGAAAAGTAATCATAACAATAGTTATGATTACTTTTCAAATAGCAACTACAAAACACTTTCTTGCAAAGTTAATTAATTTATTTCATTCAATTTATTAATCTGCACCTATGTTTCTTATTTTCCGATGAAACTTTCCGACAGTTTTAATTGTTTTAGAGAACATATTTTAAAAATATGTACCAGATTACAAAGTTGAATGCAATTTTGTTAAGTGTACTACACATGAATTAGATGCCTTCACTGCAATAGGTTTAAGCATCATATTTATTTTATTTTAATCAGACATAAACTAATTTTTAGATCGAAATAATCATTGATTTTTCCTCATTTTCCTAATTTATATATTCTGTAAAAATCGCTTTGTTTATTTTTAACATATTTCTATAATTAAAATATTCGTACCCCGTCTTTTAATATAATTTTGACGCATCAATGTCAAATTCAAGAAAAAAGTATTATTTTATTTATTTTGTTATCTGTCTATTAGGGAATGATTGGTACTCAGCATCATTGATCCGAGTGAGCAAATAATCAAAAGTGTGTACATACCAGCTCTGATATTGACGTCCCTGCTGCCAATAATCCCAACAGAATTGGATGCTGTGCATCTGTAGGTGGCGGAATGGATATCTTGACGGAAATCCTCAGGTCTAAAAGGGGCAAAAACTAAAGAAGCATCAGGTCTTATCTGTAATAGTTCTGGCACTTCTTGAACAGGTGTTCCATCTTGCCGTATCCAGGATACCGTTGGGATTGGAACACCGATAGCTGAGCAAGAAACTACCGCTCCAGTGGAGTTATAGAATTGAACTTTTTCTCGAGGCTCTATTGTGAAACTTGGACCAACTGGATTGCGTTCAGCGCATGAAACTGTTAGAAAGAAATAATGTGATGTTAATAACAAACGAAAATTCATTAAGAGTAATTTTGTTAATTAAGTTTTATTAATTAAGTTTTATTAATTTATTTTTTTAAATTTAATTGCATTAATTCAGTTTTGCTAATTTTGTTTTATTAATTTAATATCATTAAACGAAATAGCTTTATTAGATTTAAAAGTTAGTTAGGTTTTTTAGTTTTACTTCATGAATTCATGTGAGAATTTTTCTACTGGGAGATAAAATAATTAAGGAACATGCATTTGCTCTTACTATTTCAGATATATGTTATATAACTGACTTATTATAAGATAATTACTTTTAAAATAAGTTATTTTATATAATGAAATATTTTTATGCTAGTAGATTTATGATATGCAACAAATATTTGCTTATGTGAGTAACCAATAGAAAATAAACGCACAGGCCTCCCTACAGAAAGCTGTAGCACCTACAAAAACACTTTTTAGTTAAAGTTAATTCATTTATTTTATTTAATTTATTAATATGTTCTTATGTATCATATTTTCCGGTAAAAATTTACGACAGTTTTAAAATTTTTCAAGAGTTTTTTTTAACTCTACAAGTTAGTTAGGTTAATGAGCTCATGTCATATTTTTCCTACTGGGAGATGAAAAAATTAATTAAGGAACAAATGTTTGTTTTTACAATTTAAGACGTGTGTGATGTAACGAAGAATTATATTATAATAATTATTTTGAAAGAGTGATTTTATTGAGGAAAATTTGCTAATAATATTAAAATTCATAATAAGTAAGTAGTATTTGCTTATGAAAGTAACTAAAAGAAAATAAACGCTAGTTTTTATCGACAGAAAAGCTATAGCAATTATAAAAGTACTTTCTTTGTCAATGCTAAATCAATTTGTTTGGTTCAATTTATTAATATGTATCGAAGTTTCTTCAGTTATTATAAAAACTTCTGCCAATTTTAGATTTCTTTAAGAATTTTAATTCGCATTTTTACTAATGTACAATAAATGTATTAAAAAAATTAAAAACATTGTTATGCTAGTCTAGGAAAAATCAAGTTTGATTTCTTTCAAAACTAATATCATTCTAATATTTTCATTTTAAACTGAGAAATATTTTATGTTTTTTGATAATTTTTCAAATTAAAAGACGGGATATAAAAGAATTTTGGATTGAATATTGTCATTTACGGAATTACAAAGGGAAACGGAAGTATGCATGAAAAAAAAATTATTGATTTTAAAATTTAAGATATCTTGATCTAAGATATCTAAGATCTGAAATACGATGGTGTTTTATAAAAAAGTTGCTAATACTAATAAAATATAGTGGGTTTAAATTCCAAGTTAAACTACATCGACTGTAATTTATTATTTACTAGAAAAGTTAAAGTTATAATGAATTATTCCGAAATTATTAGTAGTATGAAACAAGTTTCGAATTTCTGTTCATCCAAGTAAAATAAAAACGAGTAAAATTCTTTAATATATTACAAAACAAATAAAATGTCTATTTTAAAATTCGGAAAAAGTAATTATTTACTATAATTGTGAAATTTAAATTAATATATTTTTGTTTAAAATTATGTATTCGGAAACCAAATCTGAATTAAAGAATATTTGAAAGAAACTAGTTATTTCCAATAAGGTAACTTTGCATTAAATATACGGAAGAAACATTTTGCGCAACATCTATTATGGTTCATAGAAGAATTAATTCTTTGCTAATTACTTTCATAAAACTCATTTATTTATGAATAAGTTATTCCCGAATCATATAAGAAAAAATATTTTTAAAAGGCTTGACTTTTAAAATGTATTAAAGATAGATTAAATCCTAATTATAATTTGAAAAGTTTCCAACCTCTTATAATAAGAAAGATTTGAAAAAGATCATGGTTGTTTTGAAGTAATGCATTTGTTCAGAGCCATTATAATACAGTGTTTCTTTATTTTAGTTTTTTTTTTAATTTAACTCAGTACACCTTTAAATTATTTCAAAATATACGATCAAACCAACTAGAATTGCACAAGTCATTCTGTGTAATAAAATATGTTAAAATATTAAACTAATATTTATTTATTCTTCAAGCACTGGGTTTAAGTTTGATATATTTTCCTTATTAATAACAACATATGCTAGAAACAGTTTATACTTAAAATAAAATCTGCAAAATTAGTTGTTGTTACATTTTTAATCTGTTGTATAAAACTTAAAGTTGGTTTCTTGGATTCATCTTTAGAATTTGATTTTTGTTTAAATTTTTTTAACTAAAGTTTATGCTAAAATTAGTTTGTAATTTAAATACATTCCTAAAAATATATGATAATTGCTGTAATAAATGTGGTAAAGTATGGTAGTGCATTCAACTACTGGCTACTGTTCTTAGCAAATACAAGATTGCATCAGACTCCAATATTCCTTCCTAATGCAAAAATAACCAGTGCTAATCGCTGCGATAAAGTTATATTTTTAGTTAACAAGGCATATATATTCTTAAAATTTTATTATTTTTTATCTTTATTATTAAAAACATGAACTAAAAATAGTTTATATTTAAAATAAAACCATAAAAATAACTGTCTTTTTTTAAATCTGCGGTATATCTACAACATTAATTTAAGTTGAATGCTTGGATTCATTTTGGAAATCCATTCAAATTTCAATTTATCTAATTAAAGTTCGTGATAAAAATAGTTTGTAAATATATTTCTAAAAATGAATTCTAAGCGTTTTAATATTGGTGGTATAATGTGGTAGTGAATTCAACTGATGGCCACTGTTGTCAGCAAATACTTAGATCGTATTGGACTCCAATATTTCTTCCCAATGCAACAAAAACCAATCCAATCGCTCTAACTAAGTTATAATTTTACACAAGACATAAATACTCTTAAAATTTTATTCCGTTTTTATTTTTATTAATAAAATAAACTCTAGAAATTGTTTATAATTCGAATGAAATCATAGAAAATAATAGATTTTTTTTCAAAATTTGTAGTTTACAACTTATGAAATAGTGTAGAATTCCAAGATTGATTCTAAGTAAATAAGTTGTATAATATATAAATTTGCTTAATAGAGTTAATACTATAAATACCAATTACATAGAATCATTCTTGGAATTCTATACTATTTCATAAATACAAATAACTTAAAATCATTCTTGGAACCAAAACCCATGTTAAAAATAATTTTCAATTTAAATATATTCCTAAAAAGAAATGTAAGTTGTTGTAATAAGTGTGATAAGGGAAAAAGGGACTAGTGTAGACTAGTGTAATTTGTTAAAAAAAACTATATTTACAATAATTTTTAACCTATAAACCATTTTTTTAACAATAGTTTAGACGCTCCTACACACCTCGGTTTATATCTGTAATTATAAAATTGCTTAGCTTTCCATGATATTTTCAAAATATATATATATATATAGTTATCAATATAGTTATATATAGTTTTAAATAAAATATTGGGCCTAAATTGTCTGTTTAGAGGTCATAAACAGGTAACTAATCCGCATTATCACCACATAGCCTCTACGAAAGCCTCTTATTGCTAACTCAACAGTAGACGGTATAATTAGTTTTGATCCATGACAGTCTACCGCAGGTAACAGTACACTGATGTCTCGATCTATAGGCAGGGTCTAACTCATATTTGCGGTTAATAGTAAAAGAAACCATATAAGCTGCCCATGGATTAATTGTCAATTACCGGATTATAAGTTCTAATCAATGATGAGTTAATTACAGTATGGGTTCTTTACGGTAGCACCGTGTAATGTGAAAGCACTGTAATCTAATCTGTATTGATCGACAGGATTCAAGTATTTGTCACCACATTGGGAGGCAAATGTTTGATCCTGATATCAGTCGTGGATCAACTTTAATTATTTGGAAATATATAACTGTACTGTTTCTTACTAGCTCATATTTGTTAGATATTGTGCCGTGTGCCAAATCAGATAGTGTCATAAATGCCTCAAGCTAACCTGCAGGCTGATTAGCAAAATGCATATTAAGCAGCAACAACAAAATAATTATAGCTTTGATCTAAATAGATACTTAAATATTGTTTGAAACATAGTTCCTATTACAAGTCTTCATTCTCATTTAAAGCTGTAAGCTAAGCTCCCTCTCAATTAGCATCCTAAGCTTCGAAATTTTGACGTTCATTTTCCTCATCACCAGTACAAATTACGCAATTAATTTGAAAAAGTTTGAAAAAATGTAATTAAAAAAATAATTTTTTGTCAGTAAATTTTTAATAATTTTATCTGAAAGTAACTAAAGTAAATGTGAAACTAAAAAAAATAATTTTAATTTAATTACAACAAATAATATTAAGTTTAAAAAAAATACCAACAAATTTTCCTTTCAATTGTTTACGCATTACTCCACAGCCTCCATCGTTTAAATTTTATCTGAATTCTGTTTATGCTAAATGTGCGTCACTTTTGAAGGCTAAATTTGTATAATGTTAAGGTTTCCACTGATTAGAAAATAAATTTAGAACAAACCTGAAAATTCCAAATTTTTTCACAGGCAACTTTATGACGAAGAGCGTTACAGCGGGTGGCACTTAAACCAAACATACTTTATACTATATAATACAAATACGGTGTCAATAAAGTTTTAATATTAACAATGATAAGAGCTCTATGCTCCGATTTGGAGTAAAACGGAATATGCATGTATGTATGATTCAAGCAAAATTAACCTGCAATTTTACTTTTAAAGATTAGTTACTTTTCCGCCTTTTCTAAGTTTATTTTTTCATAAACCTGTATGTTCAACGTTCTTCAATTCGTAGAACAGCATTAATGAAGCATCATGCCACATAAATTACCACATTACTTTTTATGAGATGCTATCTTTCATTTTATAAAAAAAAAATGCTTCTCTACAATATGCTGATCTAAAAGCACTTACAAGTTTATAAAATTAAGTTTATAAAGTTAAAACATCTCTCAGATGGAGAAAAATAAAAAATATAA